GAGGTAGCGCCGAAACTTCCGGAGGCCCCGGCTCGTCGCCCACTTGTCGTGCACCACCGCCATTAAGTCGCCCAGGTCTACACGACTTGCCGACATATGCAGCAGATAGATGTCGAATGAGACATCTCGCCATTCTTCGTTCGTCAACTCAGTACGCCTTTCATAGCACTGTATACAAGATGAGCCGTATGTAATGATATCATGCATACGTGAATCATAAGCAATTGATATCAGACATACCTTTTTGATGACGTGGTAAAATCACATGAGATATTCTATCTCTGGCAGCTACTGGTCCATGGCTGTCGTCATTCCGAGGTACTGAGCCTTATCGGCGTCACCCATGAGCAATCGTGGCTCCCACGCAAAGTCGAGTTGGTCTTGAAACTCTTTCTTCAGTGACTTTAACAGCCAGGCCACGTCGTCATGAGCTCTTTGTGATGTGATGCAAATGCAGAGCACATGGAGCGAGCCAGCCATGTCAGAGTCCCCAAATACGAATACTGGGTATCCTGACTTGTTTGTCGAAAATGTCTTGTCAACATGGCACAAGATCTTGCGGCAGAGGTTATCTTCGCAAGTCGTTTTGTATCGATTCATGACGTCAAGCGTCGTAAACCCTATCTACGAATATGAATGCATAACATTGTTATCGTACACAATATCATTACACGTGTCACTATCTATACCAACTCGAAACGACTGAAGGCCATCATTACCTACGCGGGGCTTGCCATCAACTTTTTCCACGCCGAATACGAATGGGTGATGGATTTCTTGATCTTCTTGTGCAGTTGGCAGAACCCAATGTTGCAACGCATCTTCAACAGCCGGCACAGTACTTTTGTGGTGCAACTCCTTGGTTCGCACGTAGTTGATGGATTGTTGCACTTGCCGGAGAGTAGGACATGCTGCATCACCATAATTGCCCGACTGATAGTGTATGCGCAGCATCTTGAACAGGGTCTTCGGCATACGTTTGGGGTCTTCACCGATCCATGACCGCAAGTCATGTAACATGTTTTCGGTCACCTATTGACGCCAATATCAGAATCATTGTTATGAATTGTTACCACCCAAGTTCGTACATGGGGCTTGACCGGTGATGCTATTCCATCCTCACCCATCCGGTGGTATCCACACATACTGACAACAGTAGTATTGGACACAAGACAAGTTTGGATCTTGTACGCAGCCTCACACCGCGGTATGCCTTCGACGTTGGTGTGACATCTTCGGCTGGTGCACCTAGTGTACTGTGATTTCATTTGATGAGGCTGGGCAAGGCGCGTGTCGTGCTCGTCAACATGAACCAATGTGCATGCTTCGCTGTTAGAATGTGATACACCAAAGCGAGGTAGTGTAAGTCGGAACGAGGGAAACTCGGCACTTGGTAGCGTGTGAACGTGGCGAAACGCGGTCATGGGTGTAATGATGATATAAGACATGTAGAGTTTCCTTTGAATAAATTGAAGATACTTCAATCGCTACATTGAAGTTTCGTATACTTGTGGAGTAGCAATTTGTAAAAAACTACCCAATAGTTACGTAAATCAGTTAAATAAGTTACGTTAAGTTACATGTGTATTTCTATTGTACGAAACCGTACAAGTAACGTTCCCCGATGAACCTTATCTTATTGCAATATTGTATACTTTCGAAGTAGCAAATTATAGAAAACTACCTGGTCGTTTCACACTTAGCCTTTCTGTCAGCATGGAGGATGATGTCGCTACGCACAACGTTGTGTTTGGCGATGGGCATGAATGTGTCCCGTTCAACATAGGAGAAGGCTACTCCGGAGCAAAACGGAATGTAAAGAAATGCTTCGTGTGCGT